AATTTCGTTTCGCTTTAAGTCGCACACTTTAAAAAATACAGCAGTTTAAACAAAACTGTCAAAAATGAATTTTTTCAAATTGAAAATAACGCAAATCCAAATCAGCAGTCTTATTAAGAATCGTTTATAGATGTGTGAACTGAATTTCGTTTCGCTTTAAGTCGCACACTTTAAAAAATACAGCAGTTTAAACAAAACTGTCAAAAATGAATTTTTTCAAATTGAAAATAACGCAAATCCAAATCAGCAGTCTTATTAAGAATCGTTTATAGATGTGTGAACTGAATTTCGTTTCGCTTTAAGTCGCACACTTTAAAAAATACAGCAGTTTAAACAAAACTGTCAAAAATGAATTTTTTCAAATTGAAAATAACGCAAATCCAAATCAGCAGTCTTATTAAGAATCGTTTATAGATGTGTGAACTGAATTTCGTTTCGCTTTAAGTCGCACACTTTAAAAAATACAGCAGTTTAAACAAAACTGTCAAAAATGAATTTTTTCAAATTGAAAATAACGCAAATCCAAATCAGCAGTCTTATTAAGAATCGTTTATAGATTGTGAACTGAATTTCGTTTCGCTTTAAGTCGCACACTTTAAAAAATACAGCAGTTTAAACAAAACTGTCAAAAATGAATTTTTTCAAATTGAAAATAACGCAAATCCAAATCAGCAGTCTTATTAAGAATCGTTTATAGATGTGTGAACTGAATTTCGTTTCGCTTTAAGTCGCACACTTTAAAAAATACAGCAGTTTAAACAAAACTGTCAAAAATGAATTTTTTCAAATTGAAAATAACGCAAATCCAAATCAGCAGTCTTATTAAGAATCGTTTATAGATGTGTGAACTGAATTTCGTTTCGCTTTAAGTCGCACACTTTAAAAAATACAGCAGTTTAAACAAAACTGTGAAAAATGAATTTTTTCAAATTGAAAATAACGCAAATCCAAATCAGCAGTCTTATTAAGAATCGTTTATAGATGTGTGAACTGAATTTCGTTTCGCTTTAAGTCGCACACTTTAAAAAATACAGCAGTTTAAACAAAACTGTGAAAAATGAATTTTTTCAAATTGAAAATAACGCAAATCCAAATCAGCAGTCTTATTAAGAATCGTTTATAGATGTGTGAACTGAATTTCGTTTCGCTTTAAGTCGCACACTTTAAAAAATACAGCAGTTTAAACAAAACTGTCAAAAATGAATTTTTTCAAATTGAAAATAACGCAAATCCAAATCAGCAGTCTTATTAAGAATCGTTTATAGTGTGTGAACTGAATTTCGTTTCGCTTTAAGTCGCACACTTTAAAAAATACAGCAGTTTAAACAAAACTGTGAAAAATGAATTTTTTCAAATTGAAAATAACGCAAATCCAAATCAGCAGTCTTATTAAGAATCGTTTATAGAATTGTGAACTGAATTTCGTTTCGCTTTAAGTCGCACACTTTAAAAAATACAGCAGTTTAAACAAAACTGTGAAAAATGAATTTTTTCAAATTGAAAATAACGCAAATCCAAATCAGCAGTCTTATTAAGAATCGTTTATAGATGTGTGAACTGAATTTCGTTTCGCTTTAAGTCGCACACTTTAAAAAATACAGCAGTTTAAACAAAACTGTCAAAAATGAATTTTTTCAAATTGAAAATAACGCAAATCCAAATCAGCAGTCTTATTAAGAATCGTTTATAGTTGTGTGAACTGAATTTCGTTTCGCTTTAAGTCGCACACTTTAAAAAATACAGCAGTTTAAACAAAACTGTGAAAAATGAATTTTTTCAAATTGAAAATAACGCAAATCCAATCAGCAGTCTTATTAAAAATCGTTTATAGATGTGTGAAGTGATTTTCGTTTGCTTGTATTCACACGCCTTAAAAATTACAGTAGTTTAAGAAACCTGTCAAAGATGATTTTTTCAAATTTCAAGATTTTTAATTTGTTGTATTTTTATTGATACAGGTTTCGATTGCGAACGTTCCAAACAATAAGAATTGATTCTAAATACAACTGAGCATGAGTATTGAAATTTCTTAAAGTCGGTCACTTTTTAAATATTTTGTTTCCAAATCGACAACGATCTATCTCCGCTTAAAATTTATTGGCACTTGCAAATATCGTGTTTTTAGTGATGTACATGTGGCATCTGAATTTAAAGAATTAATATTTTAATACGAAAACTATATTAATTAACGCTATGTGCGCGCCATTTCTCAATATTATATTAACTTTTAATAATTTTGAACTTAAATAATTTAGATTAAAAATACGTTTGTCCAAATTTTAGAATTAATTTTTTTAATATTAATATTATTATTCTCCTATTATTAATTTTATAGTTTCTAATATTAGTATTATTTTTTCTCAAGTTAGGTTTATTTTTTTCAGATTAGATGTTTTTCGTAATATTTGTTTTTTTATTAGTTAGTCAAAAAAAAATAGAAGTCGCTACAGTAATTCCCTCCCGAAAAATAAAAAAAAATTTCGAATGTAACATAAAGAAAAAATTAACTCACATTGCATTAAGTCGATTATCCAAACCTTTCTCCTTTTATCCATATATCCACTTTTATATTCCACTGCTGCTCTGCTGTCATCCCATATGGTTTGGCACTGATCACTGCACTGTTTTTTCTATTATTTTAATTTGCAATAATTATTTGTCGCACTTCACTACACACAGATGCACTTCGAACTAAACGGACGATACGGACGAAATAAACGGACGAAAAAATATCACTTGCGAATGCATTCGGCACTTTCGATCATCCCGTTCGATCACGTTCGATATCGCATTCGCGAATAAAAACACGAACAAAATATCTGTTGAAAAAATACTTTTTTGATTCCGGGAAAACGAGCGTCCGAATATTAATCAGATTAAACGCATCGAAATGCCCTTAAATTCACTCGTTATGTCTATAGAGGTCTACGCGACATCTCCTCGCGCGCCGCGTCGTTTCGCGACACCCATAGCGGTATGTCGCGACATCTCCCGGCGCGCCGCGTTATTTCATGGCATCGCGAGAGAAGTCTCACTCAGAGGAAGTAACACTTGCGCGCTACGACCGTTACGCGGTAGCGTCACGAAAGCTCACCTAGAATTTGAATCGACGGATGAAGTCAAGCTTCTTGGACACTCTACAATATTCGGGCACTCCAAAAGATGCTTGAGCACTCGCGAAACTCCTCGTCGGGAGGATGATGCCGAAACACCGCACGATAAATATAGAAATATACTCCAAATACCGTCGAAATGATGTCTCAAGCCACAGTCCCCCTCCCCTTGACCCCACCTGTAGCTTGCAATCCCGCGAATTCGCGATAATCCGACTCCCGGGGCCCCGTCGACGTCGCGGGATACCCTTCGAGACGATGAGGTATCTCCTCGAGGCTCTCGGGCGAGCGAGTAGCGGCGAAATCTACACGAAAATCACGGCGGAACACTCTCAAACGAGAAACGCCCTCCTCCCCCGTCACTCCGATCACCAACTGGTCCCCAAGTCCCCATCGACGCCCGGATGCTCTTCGAGCATATTATTCGGTCCATCACGTCGAAAACCGACACTCCCGGACTTGCACTCCCGTTTATTCGCGTTACTCGCGGACGAAATCCAGACGAGACGCGGAGCATTATCGCGACGCACCTTTGCTCCTCCGCCGCTGGACTCGCACTAACTAATGGCGGCGCTGGCTGAAGTTGGTAACGTCGTGACGTCAGAATCGGCCGATTTCATGTATTACTACGCGCGGGAGTTTTCGACGCGTAAATAATAAATAATATATGATCAGCAAATGTACACAATTTTAATTCGCCAAATATTAATTATGTACATAATTTTATTATGAGGGAGTACATAAATTTAATTCCCGATTTTCTATTATGTACATAATTTTAATTCGTCGAATTTCTATTATGCACACAATTTTAATTTTCATTTTTTATTATATATACATAATTTTAATTCGCCGTATTTTTATTATGTAAATAATTGAAATTGTACATAATAGAATTTCGATTAGAATTAGCGATTTTTGACAATTCAAATGTGGTTCTTTTTTCTTTTTAGAAAATATCTGGCTTCAAATAAAAATACTTATAAGGATATTTTTTCATAAATTAATTAGTAAAAACTAAGAATTTTTTAACATTATTGTGTTTTTTCAATTATTGCTTTTTTCAACGATTAAATTAACAATTGTAAAATTAATTTTATAATATTATTATTGTTTAAACTTATATTATATATTATAGTTAAGATCTCAAAGAATATTTATGAATTTTGTAACTATTGTAACTAAAAATTGTCGGTTCGATAACAATGCTTGAATAGCTTGCACGATCTTTGGATATCATAATATTTTACTTCAGTTTTTAAAATTTTGCAGAAATTTATGATCAATCAATGATTAATTCTGGAAAATAATTTACATAATTATATACAATAAAATTAACAAAGTTCAATATTGTAAGTATTATTACTATATGATTTTTTTGTAAATAAGATATGTGTAAATTGTGTTTTATATTTATATAATCATGCGTCATTAATTTTTTATGCGATGTATTATAAACTATTAAAAATGACAATTTAAAATGAAATTTGTCGATATGTAAAAGTATAGTTAAATGAATATAAACACATATACACAATATAATAATAAATGTAATATTTAAATGGCAAGATTTTTATTTTATCTATTTTGTATACATTATAGAACTTTATATACCATATACATATAATTGAGTAAAGAGTTTGTTTACCAATTAATGTAAATGAACGTAAAGAAAGTCAAGATGTCTTTATATTATAATGACTATTAAAATTAAATTAATCTTTCTAATATATTTTAATACATATGTATACGTCAAAGAAAATAAGAAAGTTTAATTATAACAAGAAAAATAAAAAAAAACATTTGTATATACAAATATTATATTTCTATAAATAGAATTATAATTATAATTAAATATTAATAAGTTTTGTATAAAAATATTTAAAATGTGAATATATCCTAAATATTTTAATGTTATATAAACTATTGATTACGCCTCATTTCATTAATTATAGCGACATCGGACGGATAATCTTTTGCTAGCGTTTCATTGGGTATATAATAATTGCCTTCATATCTACAAAAAAATCGTCCTATTTCTTGATGATCGATCCATTTTGAGCTATAATATTTCCATATTTTATCTGAAAAAAAATTTAATATTTTATACTGTCCTAATAGAGAGAGATTGTGGAATATATAATTTATAAAAATTTATCTAAAAACTTTTTTTAAATATATAATTAATTGTTTGGTTTCTCTTAATTGTTTATATTTTATACAAGATATTCGGTAATAATGGTCCCATCTCCCGTAAGGTAATATCTTTACAAATGATACTATATATTATATTTTATATATGCATAACACTATAGGTTTTTTATAAATGATAAATAATATACCTTGTTCCATATAACAAGTTATGTTATGCTCACAAAAAATTGCATAATATGGTTTATGCGTAGAACACGTAGAATCTGCACATGCCAAATTTCTGCATATCATGTTTGGACGAAAAGAGCACGTGTTATAACCCTTAATGCCTAATGTTGATGGATTATAATAAAGATTCCAACCAATTATGACACCAATGTGAGTGCCATTATGGATACACTCATGGCTTACAATCGTCCCGATCACAAATTTTAATACTGCCGATCTTTCTTCTAAAAATATTTTTCTCGGGGTTCTTATATTAAACAACTATAAAAAAATGTATCATTAGAGTTTAATTAATAATACTTCTTTTTTCAATTCATTTCCGAATTGATTTGTGTATATCCCTTTAAATTGCAGATAATTATATAACTATAAAATTATTAATAAAATAAGTATTAATCGCAAATAATAATTACATAAACAGTATTCATTCGTGTTATATATATTAATATGTAACAGACATAAATAGTAAAAATAATAATTACCAATATTGTGTCTGAAATATTTATATATTTTCCTGATATCATATCTCTCAGCATAATTAGCTGTTTCTCGTGAAGTGTACGTAACTGCTGATTTAAACAAGTACATAATTTTCTTATTGTCTTAAAAAAAAAATAAATATTAAAATTATATAAATATTAAATATTAATTATTAAAATAAAGTCCATTAATAGTATTATCTTAAAAATAGATTTATAAAATTACGATTACAGATGAAGAAATGTGAAAAACTAGCTGTTTTTAATTATCCTCATTTTTTATATGACATATTTTACAAGCAATTTAGATTTAATAAATTTTTATCAATGCTCATAATTGATTGCTATATAGTTATACTAATTGCTAAAATTAGTAGAAATAATATATAAATAGTTGTCAACAAACCAGTAAATAATGTTTTTCATAAATTTGACGATTATCCGTCCTTATCATGTTATTCAAAGTAAATTGGCCTTGTTCCAGTACCAAACTAAAATACTCGTGCTTTACTGTATTACTTAAACATGAACATTAAAATATAAAAAAATGTATACATATACAGACAACATATAAATATATACATATACATATAAGTATATACTCATATATACACTTAATCAATGATAATATAATTTCTAAAAAGGAAGCAATGTAGATAATGCGCATAAAAATTATATTTTCTAAATTATATTTCCGCAAATAATATATGCATGCATATATGCTTCAATATACATATTGAGATTAGAATAAAATAATGTCTAGAAGATAAATTTATAAATTATGTAATTTATTTTACATATAAATTATAATATATTAAATAAAAATTGTGCACGTACTATGTGATAAGAATAAGAATTAAAAGAAAGATTAAAAAGATTATCCTTCTCTCTCAAAAGTTAAACTTATATACTTACTTATTTACTTTTGGCTTTAAAAATATATGGAGCTCTCTCTCGGACATTATGTAAGAGTATATGCCGAATCTGCGCATTAGACTATGATATATTGTTAGTAGTAACATACTTTGGATCCCGGCTTCAACCTATAATATATAATAAGAATAGAAAAATTGATTAAATTTAAAATATTTAATGTGTGTGTATGTGTGTAATTATAGCATAATACAATAAAATTTAACATGCTGTGCAATACTTTTCTTATAACTTTAATAATATAATGTATATAAATAAATATAATATATATATATATATATATATATATATATATATATATATATAATAACTTACATGTTGGTCATGTTCAAAACTATATTCAGTTAACCATAGTTTATTTAATTTAGAGAAATATTTTTCAGAGAATATAATTTTTTCGATTGCACCTAAAATTGGCAATATTTGTTCGTACATCAAATAACTATGATTGATATTATTCTCTTTCCAATATAAACTACACACAGTCTTCACCGCGAATATACAATGTGTGGGACAGTCTTCGTAAAAACTGTGTAACACTTTTTTTGCAACGTTATCTAATGTTTCTTTTATGCGTGAGTAAGAAATATATTTTTGAGGTATGAACCATTGCACCATAATAGTAACCACTTGTTCTAAAAATTGTTGTTCTTTTGGTCCATTTCTCAATTTTAGATATTTGTACCTCATGCGTTGATGGATCAGTATTCGATAAATGAAAACACCGTAATGTCTTCGTGCTAAATCCTGACCAGATATCCTGATAAAATTTACACTGTTTAATATTTCAATTATTTAAATACATTGTTTTATATAATATTGTATTACACGCGCGCGTAACTATCAATTTAAAAAGTTTATTGAATTGTACCCGTCAGGTTGTGAAAACATTCTTAGAAACTCATTTACTATAAGATAATAGTTCGTTGAATACATGCATATGCGAAGAAACTTTGAAACCAAGTCTCTCTTATCATCATTACTGGTTTCATCCATGTATATACGAGATATTAATTCCCATATTTCTTTCAAAAATTTTAGGTTTATTTTTATTTGTTTCTTAAAATTTATTTGACCGCGATCTTCGTTTTTCATACTGCTATAAATTTTCTCCATAATAGGCCACCTATAAAATTGAAAAGTGAAGATACCTCAATTTTTTTGAAAATATCAAACTTTATTATTGTGCATTAATTTTTAATATTTTAACGTGTATAATATATATTTTACATATAGGAGAAATGTGCGAAGAGTGAAACATTTCGTTATGAATATTTATATGACTAATTAAGTTTTCATTTAACATTAAGATTTTTACGCTAAACTTTTTTGATGAGTATTCTTAAATTGAAAATATAAAGTTATACATTTTTACTTTTATTTCAATTCAGTCGATCATAACGAAGTGTTTTACTATTAAAAAATGCTTTAATTAAATTATTAAAATAAAAATATGATATCTCTATAATTTCATATTTTATCATATTTTGACAAAGCGCCCTATAAAAAATGTGTAAAAAAATATGTAAATATGACTTACCTGTGATTGAACTTTCGTCTCCAAAGTTGATTGCCCCACGCTGTTTCTCTAAATCTCTTGCACGTGGCAGTAAAATTCTCGATATCCTTGATAGGGAGTTTCATCAGAATAAGAATAATCACTTCGTTAGGCAAACTCATTATTGTAGCCATCGTGATAATAATTAAAAGACGAAACTTTTTTATGTTTTGCAAAATATTCCTATAATGAATCTTTGCAAGAAATTGAACGAATTTATCTCCTGATTTTAGAAAACTAATTCTGATCACTTTATGTCAGCGCACGATGAAATACCGCAACATATATTAAATCTGTTTACTTGTAGCTTGCAAATAAAAATGTTCGATTTCAAATTGATCTCTCAATTTTTCAAAATTTATTTTTGTCTTCACTTATACTTAGAAGCACGATGAAGCACTTGTGAACATGTAACATATGTCTTTTCGGAAACAACACATTTGATTAGCTTGCTTAACCGACAAAAATAAAGCAGAGTTTACATACCGTATATGTATACAATCTGTATCGTAAGATATCGATTACAAGCGTTATCTATAAGAACATTCCTCAGCTAATAACATGAAAGCTATATCCATATTAAAAAATCACAAAAAAATGTACTGTAGGGCCACGTGGGCTATGTATAAACGTCACCCGATGTATGCCTGACGTGCCGCAACCTCTTATATACTATACCGAAAAGTAGTTCCGCCGGCGTGGCGAGATATTAATACGTGTACCTGTGATTGGCTGGCAAAACGCAAGCGCTGTAGAGAACACGTGCTCCTCGTAAAATAAAGTCCGTCTTTGTTACATCCGGTCTGTTTTTTGGGCCAGCGATCGTCCGCGGAGACCAACACCACACCTATCCGTTCGGCTATCCATCCTCGATAAGTTCCAATCCTTTAACTTATAGTATATAAAACATTGCAATTGTGGAAATTGCATGAATATGATGACTTCGATTTCAGTTATGATAAAATGTTATTATAATAATAATCGATATTCAAAGAAAAAGTATATATTAATTAAAAAACAATAGATTTTTGATAAAATAAGTTTTATATATTCTTTGTCGATAGTGCTAGTCAATTGCATTGCGGTTTTGTGTTGCAGTTTTTTTTTCCAAAAATGACAATTAAGCGAGGGGTTGGCCACTAGTGGTTGTAGTGTACAAAAAATTACCCTTGATATGGATTACCTTTAAATTACCTCAAATTACCTAATACTACTTCAGATTACTTAAGATTACCAACTATTACCTCAAATTACCTAAGATATTATCTTAAAATATTTAAAATTACCTCAATTTTCTAAGAGATTACCCCAGATTTTTCCAAATATCTTCGAGAATCATCGATTTATCAATAATGTTCACTAACTTCAAAAATTAAAGATTACCTTAGATATTACAGACTATCTTAAGAATACCTAGAATTACCCTTAGATTACTTAGATTTCCTATTAGGTTACTCAAGATTACCTAAGATTACTATAGATTATTTAGAATTACCTTGGATTACCCAAAATTTCCTTTGGATTACCGCTGAATTACCCAGCCCTTGTACGAAAAATTATCTCAGTGACCAACCCCTCGCAATTAAGTAAAATTGATATAATTTCATGTGACGTCGAGTGAACTATGTCACTTCATCTTTCTATCAAAAATCGAATTATAAGGAGGATTTAATGTCTCTTGACGTTATGTCTTATATCATTGGAAATATATGATACTCGATTTATAAACAAATTTGAAAACCCTCATGATTTTGAATTGCGAATATTTATTTCGTCCTATTTATCGGTGGCATAAAAATATCGTGTTATGCCGAGATTGTCAATTTACTCGGCAATTTTGATTCTGATGCTCCTCTTTGTCCTAACCGTGACAGAAAAAAAATTATATCCAAGTAAGTATTGAGTTAAATTCAAACTTTTTTCTCCTGCTTTTAAACATAACTGTGTAAATAATTGTCTTAACATCGAAACAACGCGTATATAAATGAATAAATTAATATTATATCATAACGATATTAATTTTTTGACATAAGCGCGATAAAGGGTGGCATTGTGCATTTTTATTTTTTCATTGCATTTTTTTAGAACGGAATATATGTCTCTTGGATCTTCAAAAGGAAGGAGTGACACATTATTCCCCGGAAAAGTTTCGGAAAAGAAAATTACTTTCTAAAAATGAACTTGGAAATGTCATGGAGAATACGAGGAGACAGACTCTGATGAATTGTAATGGACCGATAATAATTGGCGAGGCTCTTGATAATAAGAATGATCATATTCGCGTTAAGAGAAACGGACCGATCAAGGATCATTCGATTATTCGTCATCAGTCGAATCATTCCGTGAACGTATTTGACATTTTTCCACGAAATTTTTGGAGCAATCAATCTAATCGAACTGCTTGTGTAAATATGCCGCATTCAAGACACAAAAGAGACATTTTGTCTGCAAACAGGCAACGCGCGAAGAGAAATATCAGACATTCGAAATATCGAGTTAAGACTGAAAATACTGGTGATAAGAAACACGACGCCTTGAGAGCTTCCCGCAGATCTGCCATGAAAAATGCACACAATTCGAGTATGTTTCGTAATTTTAATTTTGATTATTTTTATGTCACGTGTGTCTATTATTGCATCTACCCTGAGAAATATTATTCGATTTTAAATCTAAAGTTACATTATAATTCAAAATTAAATAATTATATATATATATATATATATATATTATATTAAAAGCAGAGAATTACTCTAAGAGAAGTTTACCCATTTTGATATAATAAGGTTATTATTTTTAAAATCAAATTTTTCAATTTCCCGGACCGCTAAGGTTATTTATCTTCTTCCATTTAATAGAAAAGAGAAGTAAAAAAATGGAAATCGTGCCTGCTAAAACAGTCGGTGAATCGTGGATAGAGAAAAGGGAATCCGGAAATGAGGGTTTAAGCACCGCTCTTTCTAGATCTAGCATTGCCGACAAGGTAAAAATCTTAATTATTCCAAGATAATTACACGACGTTAATTAACAATTAAAAAAATTCAATAAATAGGGAGAAGGGAACGCCGTTGCATTACCTTTTGTGCATACCGGAAAAGCGGAATTACGCGTTCGCATCGAAAAAATTCCCAAGAACGAGTCCCTCTTAACTAACAACTGGATAAATAATCATTCTATCGGAACTACTACTTGTCCTTCGACCGTGTTATTAAAATACGGCGACGAAATCGTCGACGACGTCAATGCGACGAATCTGGAACTCGTTCCGAATTTCGACTCCTCGGGGCGGGAAAAAGTTAATAACTTATCCGTGGAAATTATAGTGAAGCAGCTAGATTACGGCGATTCCGGAAATGCATCGTTCTATAACGCGGAGTCTCATCCAGTTGGGTCCGATCTATCGAGGAGCGATCGAGATTTGGAAAGTGGCAAACGCAATCGTGCCGAGATATTCGCGCAATCGTCGGACGAGGATGCAAAATCGCGCGCGAAGAGAAACCAGGAAATTACGTCTAGACGCTATCTACGAAGTGATAAGAATGCAGTGATAGGCTCGAAAAAGACTTTCAAGAACGGACAACAAGGAACATCGATCGAAGGTGTGAAGCGCGAAGAGACAAGGCACAAGTCTCGTGCCGCGAGATCGATCGAAGAAATTAAGGAGCTTGCTGAAAAATTAATCCTCAAGGTAAAGTCATGCACTGTATCGTTTGACGAAAAACTCGCTTCCACGTTGATCGAACCAGAAAGGTAAACTGGACTCCTCTTCTTTCTTCAGGTAAACGAGTTGCAAATGTATGTGAGCGACCGGATTAACGAAAGCCGCTCCACGACGGAGATCTGCGTTGACAGAAAGCTATCGAAGGGACTCCGCGAAGGATCTCCTCGGCGAGGAAACGCGTTGCGGAAGCCCGAGAGTTCAAGCCCGAAGTCGCTAAGAACACCGATAGTCACCGAGCGAGAAATGGTGAACGGGTGACTTTGACAGGGAAGAGAGCGTCGTCATCCAGAATATCGTCCTTTGGCGGGTCGAGATTTGCAAGAGGAGAGAACCCAATGCAGAAGGGTAAATCGCGCCGCAAATGGGGCAGGTGGATGGACTGGAGCAGCTGCAGCGTCACATGCGGTAAGGGCCGACAGATCAGGTGGAGGCATTGTCTTCGCGATTGTAACGACGCGGAAACCGAGATGGAGGAAAAAGCGTGCCAACTGCCGGCTTGTCCCCCGGGTAAATTCCTGGGAATATTCTGAAAGTCCTCTCTCTTCGCCGAATCGAGTGACAATCGGTGCTTCTGTATATTGTATTGACAAGTTACAATTAATTAATTATATTATAATTAATTATAACTATTATTATTATAATTATATGATTATAATTAATAAATCGAAACAATACGTTGTATGGTGCAGCGATGATGACGAGTCGGTGTGGATGAGAAATTCGAAATTATTCTCGAGAAGGAAAGTTCGCAAAGCGATTTTTGTACATTATTTTTTATCTTTTCTTGTGCGAAAATGCGACAATATAATTTTTTGTGTAATTTTATATATGATTTTGGATCGCGAATTTACATTTTACCGCACAGAAAATTGTTGAATCATTACAAAGATGTAATTAAAGATGAGCAAAATGATACAGTTTGGGAAATAATTTGAGTAAGATATAAATAAAATATAAGCATATATATATATATATATATATATATATATATGCAAAAAATTTATTTACAGCCTTGAGAACTTTCCTCATCAACTCATATAATACGGTTGTTGATCGCTTGTGTAATAAATAAATTAATGTATTTTTTCTAATTATTTTTTTATGAAATACATATTGTACAGGATAGTTTTTGAACAATGTCTCCACTTTTGCCGGTATTCACAAATAACGAGAGCATTCATTAAGATTTTCTGTCGCATCGTTCTGAATTATCTTTATAAAATTAATGAATGTTGCATAACAAACGTATGCTTCTCGTGCGGATATTTAAGTTTCTATACAACTTTCTTCTATCTCCTTCTCGATCAAACGCAAGGCTCTTTGCTCCATCAGTAGTTTGCACTTCTGCATGTTACAAAATCTGATATCGTACAATATTTATAAAGTTTCCTACGAAGTACATCCTCCTTTCTTACATTCATTTATATGATTTGTTTTAAAGTAAATGACGTAATAAAGAATTGCGTTTTTGTGCAATATTTTTATCTTATTAAATTAGGTATAGAATCAAAGTGTATTGTGAGCAATGTGTATTTTGTGTTTCGCTGAGAAAAATGATACAACAGTACTTTCTATAGGCAGCATAATTTGTTAAAATATTAAAAAAAAAATACAAATATATCATACCTATGTGAATTTTATTATAATTAGAATATTATCACGTTATTAATATAAGCCTTCAACTATCAATTATCAACAATGCAATACCTGTATCGCCTTATAGGACATTTTGCAAAAATATCCATCTTGACATGATCTTTAAATGCAAAATAAAATGCTAATTTATTGCGCATTTATTAATAAAGACTACGAATTCGACACATGCCGATTTGTCAATATGTTAAGTGACAAATGTCTGTAAAATATTTTCATGCATGGCACCATTTCTAAGTATTATTTATAATTTAAGCAAAATGTGCTTTACATTTGTCTAATTTTTGTTTTGATGCTATGCTGAGTCTAATTCTCAGATTAGGTGCACAATAAAAATGCTACAAAATAACGTGAAACGCGACATAGTGCCGATAAATCGTACAATCGAACATTCGTGAAATGAATCAAGCGAAATAATGCATCGAGATATAACGCCTTGAATTATTTAATATATTCGGGAGATCAGCGTTACAAATTGATCACAATGGTAAAACACGCATTCCTCTGCGCTTACACATCTACATATACACTCATGCGTCGTTATGTAATCGTATTGGTATACGATTATCGATATTCACAATTCTGTCCTAGATAAGAGGACGTAAAGGATGCATCAGTCATCATTGTATAATTGTATCGTACCCTATTATTCGATTAAATCGCGAACGCTACGTATTTGAGCTTTGTTTTAACACATTGTCAAAGTATTTGCAACTGCAACTATCCACCAAACCTGGTACGTTTGCGATACGAAATTGATACGAAGCTTGATCTTCATAGCCAAGTTAGTACCTAGCATACGTTTTTTTGGCTTATCATTTATACAAAAACTAGTCATTCGTGTGGAAGAACCGAAGTGCATCTTGTGATATATGTATATATATAAAAAAGTCGTTTTCTTTTTATTTGCATATAAAATCGCAACATGATCCACGAGATCGAGATAGATCACTATTTAATAAATTTTTTGAAATATGCTACATCAAATGCTTGTTCGACTTTTTGTTCTCGTCGATTATTTTCGTCGGAGGAACAATAAGCCAGTGCGTCCGGTAGTTGTTCTTTACCTCCAGCTAATATTCGCACATCTCGGTCAACGTCGACGCTCAATTTTAGAAGTACTGTTTCCACTTTCTCCATCGTCTCCATGCCCAAAGTGTCCACTAAAAATACAAATATACGAAATTGTATATTAATGTATCGATCCAGCGTAATGTATATTACAGGGTGTCTACTCAAATTTTATAAAAAAATTCTTTGAAAATTCTCGGTATTTTTGTTTAAATTTCAAGTAAAATAAGAAAATTTGTAGATGCTTGTAACTTTTTAAAAGTTTCTTATTGTCGATAAAAAATTACATAATATTTTAACGAAATATTGCAAAGATATGTTAGACATTTTCTCAAATGCTAAATAAGAGTAAAATTATAAAAAGGGCAATTTTTTTAAATTCTCTGAGAATAGCAGATTTTTAAGGGTTTTCCTGGGAATATACACCCTGCATTACGACAAGAATATACACACGTATACTTACAACCCATCCCGATGACGTCCGTCGCTATAGTTCTCGCTACAGCTAACCTTACGTTAGGTACCCTGTCGGTGGATAGCTTCATCAAACATGGTAACATCTCTTTAGAAAATTTGCTTCCCGCGATTGCGTTGTTGCGGATCAAATGAGAGCACACAAGCGCATAAGTCTGTCGATGCATCCATCTTTTAGCATTTACAACCAAAGTGTCCCGGAGTTCGTGAATAAGAGACATAACCAGAGCATCCTCGGTGGATAAGTAGATCACAATTCGCGTGATCTGAAAAGATCGAAGCTTACGTTTACAAGATTGAACACGATTGTATAAAGTATAATATACGAAAGAAATCTAAAAAAAAAAAAAAACTTACCAATTCAACTGCAACCTCCTTAACGGCGAAAACTTTATCTACAAGCAGTTGGAGGGACAGTGGCGCGATACTTTGTGCTACTTCGTTCGGACTGAACAGAGACATCTCTATAATCTCGAGCAATTGCGTACCAAGTTCCTGCTTAAATCTCCAGTTCGATTCGTTGTCCGTGGCGAGAAAGTCGTTCAATCTCGGCAAATATTGGCAGCGAATGTCGGGTTTAAGTATTTTCAAAAAGGTCGCGAGGTGCTTAAGTACACCTATTCTGACCTCGTCCAGATCCTTGATGAAGCCGTCGTAGATCGGCACGAGGTCGGTGGCAGTGAGTTCTTCGCCCAGGATCATGGCAATCTCGTGAATGCTCGACGCCAGACTATGCCTGACCTTCCAGTGCTTCGCACTCGACAACGATTGATAAGCCTTTCTCAAGTAGTGCCAATTTTCCGCGCCCAGCGTGAGAGCGACTGCGGGAAAACTGAAGGCACAATGATGCGTGATATCGGTGCCCACGTCCACACATTGCTCCGGATCGGCCATTGAGACGTAGTAATTGATTAATTTCTGAGGCACGATATCTTGCCCATTATCCTTCGCGTCCAAGTTGCAAGACTTGTCACTCTTGTCCATCGAGTTCAAGAGATATATCTCGAAATCCTGAGTGCCATCCGAATCCGTCGTGTCTTGCGACGACGGTGGACAATCTCCGTCGTCATCGTCATCCTTCTCCTCCTTCTGATTGTCGAGCTTATCGACGTCCGTATTTGAGTCGTCCTCGTCGCTCAAATTTACGACGGGAATGGGAATTTCGGAACAATTATTCTCGGCGTTAAATTTATCCAAGCTTTGTTTCTCAAAAGTTTCGTTATCGATAATCATTACCGTTTTATTAGCGTTATTACGATTCATCGCTGATTGCCTCGCGGCATGAGTAAGCTCGTCATCCAACGGTATACCCGGAGGGATGTAATAATATAAAAATGGATTGTATTTCTCCGTATCATCCACGTCTTTCTTGAGCAGAGGAAAAGTTCCGCGCTTTTTTCGCAAGCTTCTTTCCTGAAAATCAAATCAGAGAATATCATTAATGTATATATATACACGTACATTAAGGAGGAGAACAAGGATTACATCTTTAAGTAGCTTCAAAAACTATATTAATTCATTATGTACCTTGTATTTCATTTGCAATTGTCTATCTAAATAGCAGTTGTCTATCTTCTGACAATCATATCCCTCCAAGGAATCCGATGTCTTAACGTTGTCATGTCTCACATTCACCATAGGCAAGTAAAAAGAGCTTTTGGTGTTATCGTCCATATCAGATATTTGATTTTTGATCGCGCCCTTTGTAGGGAAGATTGCTTCATATGAATAACATAAGCTGCAAAAAACGTACAAATTAATTGAGATTAAATACGCAGCGTGAATCATGTCGAAAAACGAAAACGGACGACATATATTACCTGAGATGATTGTTCAGTTTACTGGTGTACACTAACTCGCCGTTCTTATTGTAACAGACGTCGGCGAACTGCTTGGCAAAGAGCGATATAAACGGTCCGAGTATCTGAAAAGCTGATGTTCGCACCCATTTAGAGTCGTCGTTCAAATGTTTGGCTAACATGTCTGCTAGTGCTTTTTGGCGCTCTTCGGGTGACGTACAGCAAGCAACCGGCAATATGACCTCGACGCATGCTTTTCGCACACCCCATACTCTATCACCACACAATTCCATGAACGTAGGAATCTATAATAAGGATAAAAAATAAAATTATTACTCTGTATACTTGATACCAATAAAGGATTTCATATCAAATATATAGGATTTGACTTTCGGTAGAATTGACTGTTTTTTTTCGTATGTTGTAGATAATGTCCTGCTGAATAAAAAATGTAATAGTCTCAAACCTAAATATAATTGGATAGTTATTAAGTTACAGCCAGTCAAACAGCTCGAATCAAAAATCCGAATTTTTTGTATCCGACTAGCTGTAAATCAGTAATTATCTATTATTTAGTTTTGAGCTTATCACGTTTTTTGTTCAACTAATTTTACCAAGATTCAATTTTATATAATTAATACGGGGTTTTTTAACTATATAAAATCTAGTCTTTAACTATATAAAATTCTAGATAAAATACAACATATAAAAAAAGAAAAAAAAAAGAAAAAAAAAAAACAGTTGATACCACCGAAAACTAAAATTGGCTCTCTGTTAGTATGCGCCCATAGAATTTAGTGCTCAATTTTCATCATCTATTAATGCTCACCAATTTCGCCTTCACATGATCCTTTCCCACAGCGACGCACATTTCTGCAAAATGTGTGGCGCAGGTTCTCCTCACCATCATATCGTTATCCTCACATAGGTCCAAGTATCGTTTCAAGAAGATCTTCTCTGTAAGTTCGCTATCAATCAGCGGTGCTACTCGACACATGAACTGCGAATCAATATAAAATATAGAATGATTGAAAATCGAACTGTCACAAATATATTGTGAGAAATTCAATAAAAAGACATGCGCGCTCTTATTTATTATTTAATATACTTTTTTATTCAAGTTTTAAACGGAATTCTCTTAATTATGCGATTAAAAAAAAAGAAAGAAAACACTCCAGTTAAGTTAATACAAGTACGATTATATGTAAAAAAATATACAATATTTTTTTAACATTATTAAATAATTTCGAGTGTGTGAGAGATACATCGTTCCGTTCCGCTCATCAAAGCTGGCTGTGATATGAATCAATAACACCACATCACAACCACTCTGATGGGAGGAACAGTCGATTTTATGCAATCAGCCTGCAATCTGTCCTGTAAGAGTGTATATTCATAAATTAGCACTTATTTATATTAGCACGACGAGATATACATTTACATTCTCTTCATCATACGCGACAATATATTCCGATCTCGCTTATATAAAAAAAAGAAGAGAGAATTATTCGAATTATATATAACATACACGATAAATATAAATTATACAATTACAGCTAAATGACGATACGCGTTTCCTGCTTATCGAAATATAGAGAGATTTCTTTGGCACGTTCCGAATTCGTTGAATTTTGAATGCCGCAACGCTCATCAAAGCTGGCTGTGATATGAACCATCGTTACATCAGCATATTACAGCCACTTTGTGAGCAACGCGAACATACTCTCCTTCACCGTCGAAGATGTCAAACTCTGCGCGGAGAGATCTTTACATCCTTTTTCTGCGTTAAATGAACGATGCATAAAACGGCGATCCAAATCGTCAAAAATGGCTGTGATATGAAATTCAGAGCAACACGCCACAACCAATTTGACGATTGGATCGCGTTCCTCCTGTATCTGTTTGCTGGTTCATCAAAGTTTCGGGTAGCGATTCCTAAAGAGAGACTCCTCCTTGTGAAACGCATTTGACGATATAAAACATGTAGATATACAAAGTGTTCAAAAATTTATAATATAAATAAAGAGGGAAAATGCTGAGATTTGAGTGATCTTTCTTCGTCTTTTCCCCATTCTTCGTTCATTTTCATTGCGCGTTATCGATTCAACAGGTATCAGTAATGAAAAGTGAAATCTTCTCGACGATCGATTCTGCGGGCCAGCTCATCAAAATGGCTGTGATATGACTCGAAACATTCCACAACCAATTTGATGTATCGGACCGCAAAAGGTAAAATTTCCGTGTGTGCCCCGAGGAATGTCTCTTCTTCGCAGCCTTTTCTTCTAACGCGCTCGCGCGTTTATCCTTATTTTTTTGACGCTTTCACGACTCCGTTTGTTTTTAACCATCGGAGCGCGTTGAGAACGGACATAATTTTGATCATCAAAGCTGGCTGTGATAGTCGAACTCTATGACAAACCAACTTTGATGGTAAAAGTATGCCCCGTCTTTCGTCAGGATGCCGACATTTGCGATATTTCCCGAATTTCACGTTTCTTTCTTCATGCTTCCTTGTTTTTGTTTATGGAAATCTTCAAGCGATGACGGAGTCAAAGTATTCGCTCGTTCCTTTTTTAATCTTTACCCCCGAACTTCTCCGAAAATTGTCTTCCTTTCTCACTACTCTTTTTTCGCTCTCGATACTCGAGGATGCTCTTCGTTTTCCGCTGACAGATCGTATATATAATTTTCGCCGCATGATTTTCCAATTCCTCGTGCAAGATCGTCGGGACGAAACGAACACCGCATGAAAGACAAGATAGTGAGACGCGATTGCGATGAGAACATCTCACTACCCATGTCTTTCAGGAGGAATCCGTAGTAGATATTCGTAGAAGTTGGCGACCGTTTTCGTTTGCTTGATACGCATACGAAGAATCGCGACGCGTGTACATATTTCTAACCGTAAACTTATAAAGTAGATTGTTTGCCAAAATTTTGTTTCACGAATATCCAATAAAAAAATAAATAAACATAAAAACAAAACGACATAAGACAAACTGTAAGTGAGACCAAAAATCATCCTTATAATTATATTATTTACTTGAGAATATTTGTAAATATAGAAAATAAAAGTCACAGAAAAGAGGAAAATTATTTCTCTCGATATAACATTTATTTACTTAAGAAAAAAAACGATATGTTTTTATTTTTTTAGTGACACGTCATCGTTCTTGGTGTATTTTAAAAATGGTTTAACCCTTTGCGGCATAGTGACACTCCTGAGTGTCACCTTTTTCTGTACACTTTTTTACATTTTTGAAACACTATTTAATTAGTTTTAATGACAAAAAGCATATAAAATGTATTAGAGAACATCCCTTCATAGAAATAAAAAAGAAAACAAATGTTATTGTTAATTAATTGAACGTTATAAATAAATTAATAATTAATTTATTTTCCGTGTAAAGAAAAATGTATGCCGCAAAGGGTTAAGCAAAAGTACAAACATCTCGCTTACAACCTTCTTTGTGTCCTTTTCATAAATACACAACAGATTAAAAAAGAATAATAAAGCGAAGGAAACTTACGGAGATGTTCGCATTACGAAGGTGTTCATCGGGCGACATGTAGGACAAAAGTTCTACCGTGAGACAGACGTTTTGCTCGATTGTATCGTTGCTGAGAAGATTCCGCTTCAAGATCGTTATGAGCGCGCTTTGAGCCATTTGTCGTACCTGCGAAGCAAAAAATACTTGATAATGTTTATGTCATATCTCGCGATGTCGCGACCAGAAGACATGTATTTCAAAACAAGCGTCAACTTGCCTGATTGTCTGAATCGTTCAGGTACTGTATTATAATACAGAGCAAGTGGTCGCGGAGAACATGTTCGTAAAAATGCGGCGCCTCGAGACAGATGATCGCCACATTCGGGATTTGTTCGACCAGATCCGACCGGACCAAAGCATCTGCGAACAAAATGGCGCACACATTAGAACGTTCCAACAGATGGAGAAATGGCGGAAAAGATCGCGCGCCAACTATTTCGTTGTCATTTTTTTCAGTTCAATCTCGAATGTTATTATATAAAATTATTATAGACATGTAAATATGTTTATTTTTAATACTTATGAGTATAAATAAAATTTTTCAGAGAATTTAACAAGTGTATATAAAATTAGTAATCAAGTTTTTATATTGTGGGAGCTGTATTTTATATCTTTTAAAACTAATGTAACAAGTTAATAATTATATTAATTTTTAAAGTAGTAAGCCAATTTTTAAGCAGCGCAAGAGAGAAGATATCGGATCTGAAGCAAGTTTGCAATATTAAATTAAAATTTCTAAAAAATATCCAACAAACATACATACAGTCGCCGAATAAACAAATTAAATCAATTATTCTCAAGATATTATCTAGAACGCCAAATTATTGGAAATATTTACATTAATTTTGAAGTAGCAAGCAGATTTTTAAGGAGCGCGGGGGAGAAAACATCGGATCTGAAACAAGTTTATAATATTAAATTGAATTTTCTGAGAAATCTAACAGAGATACATACAGCCGCCGAATAAACAAATTAAATCAATTATTTGTTCATTAATTTTATTTATATTTTTATTAAATTTAAATCAATTATTCTCTAGATATTACCTAGACGCCATATTATTTGTAGTATGCTGTACTAAATAAGACTGACTCCGGCTAATTTTCGGCAAAGTAGACACAAAAATGAAATTCCACGAGAAGACTCCGTTCTTGCGCAGCGGAGGATTTAGAATAGAACGAGAGCACATTTCCACATTCCAATTTCCTGAATAGCCAAAAATTCTCAACAGAAAAATGGACCTGGAAGAGGGATTTGGGTCGGGACGATAGGCCCAGAAAGACCTAGAAGTTCGAAGGAAGGGGAGAAGGGACTTGACTGTGCACATATGCGAGAAGAAAAAGAATGCCAGGAAGAGAGGGCAAAAATGCGCATTTTCGGACTGCAACACTTCGTTCCCTCGGGGTTCTTCCCGCCGGTTTTCTGTAGGGAGGCTGGGAAATTCCTTTTTCTTGATCTCTCTCTCTCTCTCGTAACTAGCGACTCACAAACTCTCTTCGTCTCTCATATCTACACATCTTAGAGTCCATTTATCACTAAACTCAATCACCTTTTTCCTCCCTTTTCTGCTTATTTTATATCTTTGCCATCCAATTATGTCAAAAATATCCTGCTGAAAACGGTTCGGTTTGTTAGAGACCTTTATGAGAGAATATAACCTTTCTCAGGTCTCTTCGGAATTTTCAGTTGTTTATCAATAACTTTATAAACACTTTTTACATTATGATTCGTTAAACTGATTATTTTATTACATTTCAGGAATATTCTTCTGCGATATACGATTAAGTATTGAAAGAAATTATTTCTCTGCATATATTTATGTTCAAAGATAAAAAGAATCGTATGTAATAAATTTACATTTATAATTGAAAAAGTAAATTCTTAATGACCGTCACACGTAAGTAAAAAGATTACAATCGTCTTCTGCAGCGGCGAAGAACTCTGAGTCTATCGAGATTTTATCACAGTTTCGAACCCCCTAATTTTCAACTACAGGATCAATGTTCCCGTTAAAAATCGAGGAGTAGGGGAGAGAAAGATTCGACTTTTTCCTCCTTCGGAAGGCGTATCTCGAGCATCCAAAAATACGTAAATCGGTGTCGCGTGCCCCGAATCGTGAACCGGTGTTGCTGCATCGCGGCCCCTTTCGCGTGTCCCCTATAGGAAAAATACGGTGGCACGTGTTACGGACAAGATGTTCCGTGGATCGCCCCTAAAAATAGGACACTGCCGTCTCTCGGGTGGTGCTTCTGCATCGGGATATAGCGCGTCGCATCCCTTATATTTCAAGATTTCCGGATGGATATCCATATGTACGGCGTTCCATCATGTGTAATATTCTTCCAACCATACCTTCTACATTAAACTCGAAGTCAATTTTTTTATAAATATTATATGTGAAAGAAAGAAAATATATTTTTTGTAAATGTATATAATTTTTGTAATTTATAATTTTTAATTTATTGAATATTCTTGGGATTTAATGTTAAATTATTTTCTACTGTATAACGAGATCCAAGAACTATAGGTAATAAAAATTCTATTGTCATCAAAGATTCTTCTTCTTTTATGGTTGAATCCATAAATATCGGATATATAATAATGTTTTATAGTTTAGAAAAATTGTCTCTTTTATTATTAATTTATTCTTTACGTTCTCTAAAATAATATTCATATGTTATCATCAGAGAATGGAATATAATTTATAGCAACTCTTCTCGAGCGACATAAAACGTAGGATGTATCCGATAAACTTTCCGTAAACTTAATTTTTATTTTACATTTATATAATAATTTGAGTTCTTCTTAAAATGTTTAAAATATATAGCTAACTTTTATTACACATATTCTTGATGTGAAATATTGCGTTTTTTTGAGGTTTAATGTAAATATCGTATAATTATCGGCAATTAATTTTAATTTGTTAAGCGCGATTTTATTTGCAACAACCTGCTAGAAAAGAAAAGCGATCGAAACTAGTCAACTCTCGAGAAACACGTATTGACATGTTTCGACATGTCAAAATATTTTGTATTTCTTGGAAGCAGGTAAGAATTTTTCTCAAAAAGGCTCAGGAGGATCGATATATATCAAGATATTTATCGATAACCATTAAAGTCTTTTTCACAACTCCGAAAACTGTAAAACCTCGTAAAAACGATTTTTCTCTTCCTTTATACTCATAATCTTCTTACTACTTTAGAATATATTTCTTTTCAAAAATCACGATACTTTAGTCCATCTGATTTTTAATTGAAAATTATTTGACAAAATAGCAATTGATGTAGATAAATTGATATATTTCTTGTTAATCTTTTGCAAGTAATATTCATTTTTCTAACTTAGAAAAATTTTATTTAATATATTGGAAAAATATGCCTATGTTTGTTTTATTCAAAATATTTCGAATTTCGAAATCATTTCTAACTTAATTTATCCCGGAATGCAATTATGTTTTATAAAATTTGCTCTCTCCAAATGTGTTTGGATTTATATCTAGCGCAAAAGATATTCTCTATATTAATACAAACATCAATCGAAGCTTTGTCATCTCGGAACTTTATCACCAACAAATTCTTGTGTAATTTATATTTCATTACAAAAAAAATAATTTTATTTCCGATAAAACTGCAATATTTTCATTCTTCGAATTAATTTTTTTACACGGCTCGATGAGAAACAAAATAAATATTAAATAATTAAATTACATAAAATAAATTTAATTCTGGTTTTTATTATCTACATACAAAGCTGTCAATTTCATTCAATTCCGTCCAAATTTCGTCAATTAATAAATATGTTATAATAAACTTCCTATAATAACCAGTATTCAGAAAATTAGATTCTTCCTAAAATCCGTAATCAACATTGCCTCTCATATTTTTTAATAATCCACGAGGAAGTTTGATCATGTAAGAAATAATGCGTAAAGAGGATTTGCGTATCTCTCAGCTGTCAAAAAAAGTGTCATGCGTCAAAATCCCTTACAAGGGTCTGTGGATCCTGGTACCAGCATACGCCGGCTTTTACGCAAGATTCTTCGTGGCCGGAGATGGCGAGGTTTAAATTAAGAACGGAGAGAGTGAGTGGGTTTACGTCTAAGATCGGGGGTTGTGCCCTTTTGTATAAATATCGCGGCGGCTTAATGTCGTATTCCCGAATCCACGAGCGCGACTTCCGGCATCAACGGCGCGTGCCTTACCGGAAGCGAGGGCACACGTCTCTCTCTTTCTCTCTCTCGTTTTCTCTAAGGATGGAGCTTATTTTTCACTGTAAACCAGCTTTTGCTTCCCGCCCACGCTCGGGACCCCCACAAAAAGGACTCGCGCGCCCTCGAGAAACAACCCCGATGCAGTCGGTCGCTGGATATTTATACGTTTCCTGCGTGGTTACTTAAGCGATCTCCATTTAAGAAGATGCGTTCAATTTTGTAGCGAAACGTAAGATGCTATTTCGGTATAAAAAGGAAAAAAGTTATTCTTGGAAATTTGCTGACAATTGATGACACGTGAATATTTTCCTGTTGAAGTCCGTACAGTCGATTTCTCGCGAAATGCACGATATTATTTTTATAAAAAGCAAGATTTTTGGAGCATTTAAGAGATGTTCTACTATATCTTTTTACACATTCTGTTGAATCTCGGTCAAGAACTCGCTGATATTGCTAATATTAACGTTCCCTTCGGGTCGGCACGTTATTTAAACGAAGCCTGCTCAAAGAAAATTCAATTTCCAGCGAAGTGGATGGCGCGTTTTGATAAAAAGAGGGAATTACATAAGAACAAGCTTTAAAACGTGCAGTCGATAACTGTGCTTATACAGTTTTTATCAAATATTGGTTACGAAAAACGAAGAGAGTAAAACCAGTACGTACGATTTCGTTAGAGAATGTCTAATGGTCTTGACTGCGTTGATGGAAGAGAAAAATTTTAGAAATTTTTTAACATAACCGATAAAACATTATGAACATCGTGGAAATCAATATAATCGATAAAATTCGGAGAACATACACACAATCGAGATGAAAAATCGTGCTGAATTATTATCTCTTTTATTAACTAGATATTACTCGACACATTAACACATTTTTTACCAAAAATAAAATCTTAAAGAACTCCAAAAGATTTTCATAAAAGATTTTGCAGTAAAAATAAATTATGGAAAATATAGTTTCTTATGGTTTTCGATCTTCTGAGTGTTTCAAATTAAATTGTACTGGCCAGTTAGGTCGAAAATTTCATTATTAAACTTGCATCAATAAAAATTAAAGCAGAAAAGCACAAAGTAAAAAATCATAGCAACCAATCACATTTAGGCCAACAACATGATGCAAAGGATTTGACTCGGAATTTTCTCCAATCCTTTCACATTAAGCGATTATAAAAGTGCAAAAAAATGTGCGATAATGAACCTTAATTATATCTTCCTCAAAATTGAGACCATGTTTATATAACTTTTAAATGGCATACGCTATGTCGCTTATTTGCTAATAATATTAATAACAATCTTTGCATGTCTTGTTCGATGTTTTTGCAGTAAAAATAACCTTATTCGTAACATAATCGCCCAACTATCGAAGGAATCCTAACGTTCGTTAATTTTCCAATACAGATATCTATTTCAATAATTATGTAGCTTTATATATATTCGTGCGTAAGTAATTTAATTAATTTATTGAAATTTTCGACCTAACTGGCCAGTATAATTTAATTTGAAACACTCAGAAGATCGAAAACCATAAGAAACTATATTTTCCATAATTTATTTTTACTGCAAAATCTTTTATGAAAATCTTTTGGAGTTCTTTAAGGTTTTATTTTTGGTAAAAAATGTGTTAATGTGTCGAGTAATATCTAGTTTTTCGTGGATCATATATATTTTATTCTTTTCAATGTGTCTAATTTTATGTTCAAGTTACATATCAATCTCATGATCGTGCGCGCGCACAAATGTCCTAATTATATCTTCCTCAAAATTGAGACCATGTTTATATAACTTTTAAATGGCATACGCTATGTCGCTTATTTGTTAATAATATTAATAACAATCTTTGCATGTCTTGTTCGATGTTTTTGCAGTAAAAATAACCTTATTCGTAACATAATCGCCCAACTATCGAAGGAATCCTAACGTTCGTTAATTTTCCAATACAGATATCTATTTCAATAATTATGTAGCTCTATATATATTCGTGCGTAAGTAATTTAATTAATTTATTGAAATTTTCGACCTAACTGGCCAGTATAATTTAATTTGAAACACTCAGAAGATCGAAAACCATAAGAAACTATATTTTCCATAATTTATTTTTACTGCAAAATCTTTTATGAAAATCTTTTAGAGTTCTTTAAGGTTTTATTTTTGGTAAAAAATGTGTTAATGTGTCGAGTAATATCTAGTTTTTCGTGGATCATATATATTTTATTCTTTTCAATGTGTCTAATTTTATGTTCAAGTTACATATCAATCTCATGATCGTGCGCGCGCACAAATGTCCTAATTATATCTTCCTCAAAATTGAGACCATGTTTATATAACTTTTAAATGGCATACGCTATGTCGCTTATTTGCTAATAATATTAATAACAATCTTTGCATGTCTTGTTCGATGTTTTTGCAGTAAAAAATAACCTTATTCGTAACATAATCGCCCTTCGTTGAGTGATGTGGCACATATGAAAAACTTAAAAAAAAATTTGCTTTATACTCGTAAGTTTGCATACAAGCAGTGTCATGAAATTGCATTCTAAAAGTATATTGCTGCGAAAGATACTTTAGAAAAATTCACTACAACATATTTACCGCAATGTCTAAGCAATCGTACCCGATTCGCAATTTGACGTACGTGAGAGACAATTTGAAGATGTGCACTTTAAAAGTGTGCTATTAGTGTTCGCTCTGATGAATAATGGCGATCGATCAGCGACTTACCGTTATCGTCGACGACAAGCTGTACATGATGCATAACTTCATCGACGATCAGTGGTACATTATTGTTGACTGACGTGCGAAACATCTCCACCAATATGCGGCCCACCATTTGTCTGCAACACAGGAAATAAAGACATAAGATAAATACATTAGAACACACGTCACTCTACGCGTCATCTGTTGATTCGGATGTGTCGAGATACAAAATAATAATTATTATTATTCGATTTCTCAGATAGTATAAAACGTGAAGATTAAAAAAAAACAGGCAAACTCCTTCATTAACGCAACGCTTTCGACGTAAATAAGTAATGATTTTAACGTGTATTACATTCGAGCAACTATCGAAGGAATCCTAACGTTCGTTAATTTTCCAATACAGATATCTATTTCAATAATTATGTAGCTCTATATATATTCGTGCGTAAGTAATTTAATTAAGTTAAAATTAATATACACGATCGCGACGAAGAAGCGACAAATTCAATGGATAATTTTATCCGTTGCTAACAATCTGATAAGATTTTCTCATAAGTTAACTCACAGTCATTTTGAGGTTTGCATTATTTTCGATATATGTTTGCAGTTATTATACGATCGCTCTTTTACTTTAATATTATCTATTATGCTTTAATATTAGATACACAGGGTATCTCAAAACCTCCATACAAATACTTCACGAACGTGTTCTATACTAAAATATTAACAATTAGAATAAAATATTATCAAAATCACATTCTTTTATTAATTTTCTGTAGTTTATTTTAATAGAATTTTAATTCAAGGCTTAATTACGAAGATACATGATTCGTTATTTCTTATAATTAACAACACATATATCATCCATTCGCTAACAACTTTTATTGCATATATGCTATAAAATACTACGGTTAATTTTTAAGCTGAATTTGTTAGTCAATATAAAAATAAAATAAAATTGCCCTGATCAAAAATTTTTGATATATAATTATATATAACAATATAAAGTTCACATGTATACTTATTATTTATTATAATATATAATTATATATGATTTTATATTAATGGTAATTAGATCAGCTAACATTAATATATAAAATTATATGTGTAATAATATAACAAGTCATATAAAATTATATATAATTTATACAAATAACTTATACAGAGTTTTATATATTTCTGTATAATTTTATATTGTTATATATTATATTATACATAAAAAATTTGTTATCGGGTGTTTAAATAGCAAAAGCTTTATATTGTGTATCATGCACACACATACACACATAAAAATTAAAGATATTTAGAAGTAGTTTGTCTTCATTTTAACAATCACAAGTAAAGAAATGTGTTCAATATTAAATTGTTAAAAGAAAGAGGTGCAAATATAAACTTTATACACATATTTTCCTGTATTCTTGGCATTTTTATTTCCGTTTCGTCTACCAACCCTTCACGTTCTTAATTTAAAATTTCAACGGGACTCGATAATTAAACACACAAATATAAGCGTGATTTAATCAGCATCTCTTCACAAACTTCGAGCCCGAAGAAAGAAGATAAAGGAGTCTGAAAGAAGATACCGAGAAGCAACATGTGTCCACCTTAACGATACGGTGTATACCCAGCGGTTAAAGCGCTAAAAGAAAAATATAAGAGCAAACGCCGCGGATTTCGCACACGTACAAACAAGGCGGCAGATTATCTTCATCAATTATTCATACTCGCCGGTTCGCGCGAGTATCTCGGCGCATTCGGCTCCCTGAAATTCCAGCGAACTCGAATAAGTTCGATATAATGAAATACATAAACCGAGTTAGGCTCCGGGATACGGCCGTCCCTCGAAAACTTTGTATTCCTGAAGAAGAAGATGAAGAGAAAAAGAAGAGAGAAACGGAGTATTCGAGGCAAACAAGCGTCAGGATGACGACGAAGACGACGTTTGCGGCCAGCGCACCATCATCGCGGGCCATGAAGGCGGCGGCCGTCCTCCTCGACGAGTGGAATCGAAGACGAAGAGCAGGAAGTGGAAGACGAAGTATCGCCGCCGCCGCCGTAGTTTGATCACGTCGCTACTGCGTTCCCACCACCCTGAGAGAAAGAGAGAGAGAGAGAGCCCATCATCTGTGCCTCCCCATCCGGCGCAACTTTTCCCTCCACTTCGGCATCGACAGGGCGAACTCCCCTCTCGCAGAAGCGCCGAGAAATGCGTGCGAGTGGGATCGCGAGGCCGCGGAAGGGATGGACGGACGGATGGTGGAGGCGACACCAACGGAACATCGTCGACGGTGCCCCACCAGGAACACGACGGCGAGTGGGGCAGAAGCGTTCTCCAAAGCAGTTGGAGAACAAGCGAGCAGACGGTACCGCCTGTGAACGCCTACCATTCTGGCGCAAATATGGCCGCCGACCGCTGCGGCGAAGACGAAGATGAAGAAGTTCGTTCCATGCAGAATTTTCGGGGGCGAGCGAGCGAGCGAGCTTTGCCGCGGCTTTCTTCGCGCTAACTTTCGACTCGGCGCACCAAGTGCGCTTGTTGGACGAAAAACGTCATGCGCGTTCACCACCACCCACCCTCCGACAGTTCCTTATTGTCATCCATACTTATTCTATGTATGTCCGCGGGGCGACGACTTAGGGTTGCTTTCGCTCAGACCCATGTTAGACACCCGCTGGTCCAAAATTGAAGTACACGCCGCTCTGACACTTTCCTAACGGCCTACCACGCGCATGATCGCCGTACTTCGCGAAGATCGATAAAGAACACGGCGTTTTCTTCCTCCCCTTCTGGCGAGATACATATATATATATATACGATGTATATATTATATATATAATATATATGTACAAAGGAGGGCTGATTTTAGGAACCACTACAGCCGACGAGGATTCCTCTTCATTAATATTGATAGATTGAATATGCCGCAAGATCGAAAGAAACTTGAACGCTAACATCGATAATAGATCGATAATGCGAATCAAAAATCATCGAGTTTTCAAAGACATCGAAGGAAAATCAAGGAGAAAATCGTCTTTTCGTTTTATTTATTCTTGCTGTTTAATTCATCTAATCAGTGAACGAATGATAAAACTGTATACTAGAACTTCATATTTTTGGTATCAAGGAAATAATTTTTATTATTATTTCGTGCATTAATTCATTCTCAATAGTCGAGACAAATTAAATTTATTTCATCAAGATTAAAATAAAAAGTAAAAGAATTTCTCTGGACCGATCATTCATTATCCTTCATTCCTTTAAATTAAAAATAAATCTATGCCGATTCTTCGATAAAAAAATAATTCCATGACATCTTTATTTTTAGATGTCACAAATATTTATACTTATTCGACTTTTAAAAATTGTATAATTTTGATGCACTAAAAAAGTCTTTCATTAATTTTGCAAAGAGAACTCTACCGGCGATCGACTTTCTTTTAATAAAAATGTAATATAAAATAAAAGAAAGCAACTTAAGTAAATTTTTTTGTTCACATATGGTTTTTCAGGAATACAAAAAGGTATCATTAATTATAAATATTAATTCAGTTTTCTCGTAAAAATATCAGGTTAAACTAATCAGTCTAAAAACTTTGTAATCTGACATCATAAAAGCTTTATACGTGTTTGAAAAAGTGAGAATAGAATTAAAAATTGGAATAAATCTTTGATTCTTTTCCTTTCAAATTTAAATTTATAATATATAATATAAAGTAAAAGCAATGGTATTTAAAAAACTATTTCAATAAAGCATTTATAGTCTTTTATCGTGTAGATTTATTTGGGTTACTTCACCAACATTTCAAAAAATCCATTGTTTTATTTAATGCAGTAAAAAAAAAAAAAAAGGAAAAAAGTGAAATCGGGAAAATATATCTGAGCCAAAGAATTTCCTAACAAAATTAAACATATAAATGTCATAAAAAAAGAAAGTGCAAGAGTGCAAACTTCAATTTAACTGCCATAAATGGCAAGAAAATAAATGTGGCGGGTACTACCATAAAGAAGACACGAGAAGAATTTCAACAATTTCAAGAGCGAAATATCAAGTTGATTGTGGTTTCTAGTTTTCTGTAGGAACCCAACTCTATAGAAAATCAAATTTTAAAAAAAAGGTATTGTATTTCTGAAATTCCGGAAAATAAACGCTGGAAAAATGGATCCGGAGATCCCTCGTTTTGAGTAATCGGCGAAACTATTCACATTGGAAAACGATCACAAAAAAGGATCAGAGCGCGTTAGTGACTGCGCATCAAATGTTACAAAGAATAATGTCAGTGAACGACAGGGAACTAAAGAAAAGAGCAAGAGCAACTCGCGCTCCTTTTTATTGCAGCGAACAAATATTTCGTGGCCGATGATCCCGGGTCCCTCCTTAGTCTCTCCAGACACCTGCGTCCTAGCACGTATCTCCCTAAGAACATTCTGCAGGTTTAAGCCTTGTATACAGCCCGATAAGATCGTGCTGTCTTTGAATTCCCGCCTAGAAAGCTGGGCAGGTGCAACCCGTAGCGCGTGGAAGAATTTTTCTGCCCACCGAACGAGAGAAAGAGAAAGAGATAACAATCACGCGATCAATGACAATAAAATCCGTTAATTAATTGAGAGAGAATCTCCGAGCTCTCTAATTAGGATGCAATCGCTCCTTGAGCCACTGATTTGTTTTCACGTCATAATGGGAGATGCTAAACAATACAAGCGCGAGCCATGTTCATTAATTGTTTGCTGAAATATGGGATCAAAGAGAAAAAATTATCCAAGAAATTTAGTTTTCGATATATATATATATATATCTTCTACTTATAATTTTGACATTTTTTTCTAAAATAGATAAAAAATAATTAAAAAATGTAGAATTTTAATAATACAAATTTCTGTTAGAGTTCACTTTTCTTCAATTGAATCCACGTTGAAGGTTTCGCGAAAGGATCATGCGCGGTTGAGAGACCAGATTCGCGTCGCAGTCGAGACTACTTTCGCTGCGTTTTCCCGCCGCGAGTTTTCGAAAGAAAAAAGCTCGAACGATATATCGAACGAGATACGCGGCGAAACTGAGCGCGGCAAAACTTGTCCGATGTGCATCAGGACGGACATGCGATTCGCAGGCGACCAGTTTTGCGGAGCCGTTCACAA